CTCCTCTCTCCTTGTCCCACCTACTTCCTGCCTGGCCACTGGCCATTCAGTGTTTTATTTATTGACCAATCAGAGCAATTTGACATACAGACCATCCCACAGCAGAGTTTATATTTTCAATGCTCTCTCCTTGAGTATCAAAAGTACCCTAAGCATGCTTTCCCAGAGCTGTAAGTTCTTCTCACAAGGGCAGCGTTCCTACCCTTTCATCACCCGCACTACAACGGGAAAGTAAGAAAGCAAAAGTGTCAGCCGTGAGCATGACAGGAACTTTAATCAGCCCAAGTGAAAAAGCACACTGGAGGAAGAGCTAGGGGAGACAAAGAGAGGAACAGGTGCTATGCTTCTGGTCTTGCACACAATGAAGAAATAGGTTGTGTGGTCTGTGCTTAACCACATTCACATGGCCTATGGTGTGGGAATCTTCATATTTAGCTCTAAGTATCTATAACATAGAGCAACAAAAATGATTATCAAGGTAGTTTGTTATAATCATGAACTATGCACCCCTTAATTAAATAGATTGCATAAAATCTAGTTAACTCATGTCAAAACCTTTATTTCACTAACCATGTTCTCACTGTAGTGTTTCACTGTGTTCACTATGAACTACCCAGAGAAGTTCCTTGATATCAGATCCTGGCTTTTTAGGAAACAATCTGGGTGTGCTGTGAACACAATGCTAAGATAGAAAAATGTTCTAAAGAAGTTTGGCAACATGCAGCCTTTTCCTAGGAGATCCAAAATTGGAGTAAATTCTTTATTATCAAATCCAAGGCATGTCCAATAGTAAATCAAAAGGACATAAACTTATGCAAAAATCTCATTGAGGTATGCTTTCACTAGGAGGTAAACATGAACATAAATATAACCAAGGCTGGCATATTGTAGTATAGGGAACCAATTTCCCATCTTGCTGACTCTTACCTCCAAACACACACACACACACACACACACACACACGCACGCACGCACGCACGCACGCACGCACGCACGCACGCAGGCGCACATGCATGCGGGTGCGCACACACACACACACCTCATATTTAAGTTCCATCCATCATCAATCTGAGAACTTTCTTATCAATAAATGTCTACCATAACTTTTTAAAAATTCTTCTCTCATCTGTTACATCCCCACCACCATTTCCTCTTCCTCCCCATCCTCTCTCTCCCCTCTGCCCCACCTCTCCTATGCCTCAGATCCATACCCCCTCTATCTACCCTCAGAAAAGAGCAGGCCTTTTGTTAACTTTTAATAATTTTGATTATTCATTCAATGTGGTATGTGTGTACGTGGGTGTATATGCATGGGCAGATTCATGCCATGATATACCTGTGGAGGTCAGAGGACAACTTGTAAGAATCTGTTCTCTTCTACCATATGAGTCCCTAAGACGGAACTTTGTTCATCAGTCTTGGCAGCAGGCAACTTGATGCACTGAGCCATCTCTCTGGCCCAAAAAAAATGTTATTTATATCGCGCGCGCTCACACACACACACACACACACACACACACACACGAAATTAATTTTAAGTATCATTTCTTAAATTGGCATTTAATTTTAAATAGTTGAAAGGACATTTTTAGATAAATATGGTAATGAACTTAAGCTGAGGCTTGCCTGCAAAGCTGAGAACCATCCATTGCTTTTCAAACATCTCGTCAGAAATGGAAACTCATGAAATCTGAAGTTTTTGAAGGATTAAAAAAAAAGCCATCCTATTATAAAAATAGCAGTTTTCATTTCTCCATTCTTCCATGTTTTTCCACTAGAACCTACTAATATAATTGCCGGGGCTATAAATCATTTCAACAGAAGGCAAACAAGTAGAAAGAAACCAAACATATTCAACAGACTGGAAACCATAAACTAAACAGGAAGTTCAAACTAAAAATTTGAACTTATAAGATAATAACAGTTATTTGTATTTTATTCAAATCAGAAAAGAATTTGCTTCAGCTTCCATGGAGTCTAGAAGAAATTGGAGAGCTGCAACTTTGTCTCTTTTCCTGGTGGCTTCAAAAAGAATAAGAAGGAAAAATGTTTGAAGCCACAAAGAGCACAATAAAAATAAAATTACAATATATAAACATACTTTTCTAAAAGGAATTTTGAACCCCTATGAAACACATTGAATGATGGATTCTCTTTATTTTCTTATCAATTTAATATCCTTTGGATTAAAATAAAACTTTCAAAGACAATTTTCAGGTTTTAACACTTCAAGGACACTAATGAATCCAATTTTCTTTGGAAGGAACTTGGGAAATACTACAAACCAGAAATTTGAGAGTATTTAACTATTTCTAGAATTTTAGAGTTGGGGAGAACTTCAGAGCCCAAGAAGCTCAATGTTTCTCAAACTGTGCTTCATCTTAAGATATGCCCCATGACAAACGTCCCTTTCCAAGGGTTGATGGAGAAGCAGGCTTTAAAGATCACTTACTGAGGACTGTCTAACAGAGAGAAGGGATGGAGGAAGAGGAGGAGGTAGGGAAGGAAAGTCACTTGAGATAGGATGTAGCACAGTTGATAGAGTGCTTGCCTGCCATGCACACACAACACCCAGGGCCTCATCCTCCAAAACTATGTGAAGCAGACATGGTGATCTCCTGGGATGGCTGTAGCTGTTACTGGCTGTAGCTGTTACTGCCCTATTACACTTTGAGAGACTACTGCTACCTCAGAAAGCTCAGCAATGAACTTTTATGCAGGTGCCTAGAGCCAAGCCATTGTGAAAACATTGCCATATTTCTGAACCAACCAACGAACAGCCAAGGACTTGATACTCATCCTCTCTGTACCCCTCCAGGATCTGGAATATGCTAGAGGCATTTTTCATAGCTACAGCTGGTGTTTGTTCCTACTAGTCAATGACAGGCTGACCAGGCACTAACTGGATGAAGTTCACTGCCACAGACAATGCTGGGCCCGGGTTGGAGGCTCTTAATCAACCTATGTGACTAACTGTGGAAAACAGTCACAGATCAGGCATTTCTTCATTTCCACTCTTTCCTCGAACTCAATCATGGGTCCACTTTTAGAGAAACACTGATCTCCTTCAGTCTCTCAATTTTGCAAAGGAGAAAATTGAGGAACCAAAGGGTTGAAGTAACTTACTTGAAGTCAGATAGCTGAAAAGAACCCAACATGGGTTGAAAATTCTGTCTTTCTCAGTGCCAAAGGTCATGCCTGGTTGGAATTTCCTCAAATGAAGCAGTGTTGAGCCCACCTCTTGCAGAGTGGTGAAAGCCTATAGTGCCTGTGCATGCGGTCAGTTAAACTCCTTAACTCGTGGCCAAAAGAAATCACGGCTACCTCGTTATCTTTGGATCCGTCTTGAAACATTTTCATCTGGGTTCTAGAGATAGTCTATGAAATGTTTATTCTATCTAAAATCTTTAAAGCATGCTGTCTAGAATACCTGACTGGAAATAAAAATCTGAGCTAGTGGCTTGATTAATGTCACATAGCTGCCTTGGGACGAGTCCAAGACCGGAGCCGGACTCTCTTTCCTCTCCATGGTCTTTTCAGTGGTACTCCTTCCTCCAAGCCACGCTTGTTTTTTGAAGGTAGTGTCCATGTGAACCACAGGTTTAACACAACTCGAGCTGCTCCATGACCAGGCTGCTGACTGACTACAAATTTGCTTTTCTTGAGAACAAGGTGTGAATAACCTCTGGGGGGAAAGGGGGAGCTGGAGCCCGGTGGGAAACCTGCAAGGGCCTGCTGTAGGGTTTGAGGAAACTGCCCCCTGCCGAGATGCAGACATGTGGTTTTTTTTGAAAGACACTGGAACTGTTAAAAGTTCCCTGAGGTTCCGTGACGTGTAAAGAAGGCTTGCAGAAATCTTGGTACGTGGAAACAAAACGCTTTGCCATATGCCTTCTTAAAAAAAACTTTTTTCCAGCTGCAGTGAAATTCGTTTTAACAACTGAGTCTTCAGCCCTGACGCCCTCGGCATCCCGCTACTTCGGGATGGCCCTAGGGTGTATCTGTTACAGACTGAAGGATCTCTAGTGAGAACCTGGGGAGCTGTAATCCCTGTATCTCTCCCCCAAGCCCCACAAACCACCAGTGCACAGTAGTTACCGCTTTGTTACCAGATAAGGTTACAGAAGGGATCAGGGAGGTGTCTGTGACTCGGATTAAGGACAAAGTAATTGCTGAAACATTGACACAGAAGGGTTTTTGCAAAGGAAGCACACCGTCACGTTGCAATGATGATTTTTTTTTGATCCAATTTAAAAAAAAAAAAAAAAAGGAACTGCCCTCAATAAATCATCTTCCTAATGGAAATGACAGAATTATCTCCCAGGAGGACAGCACAGCCCTCACCTCCCTCCCTCAGAAGGGGAGTAGGAAGGAAATGGAGACACAGCATCCTTGAAGGATCTAAGGCTTCCTGGACATTTGTTCCCCTCTGTCCGTGGAAGTCACTTCGAACAGTTTTTAAGCTCATTGTTCATACACACAAGATAAGATCCTTTTCAAACATTATACGGTATCTTTGTTAAATTAAAACAAAAAGCTGTTTCTATGGTTGGTCACAAGGAAAAATAGCACTAGCACGTACCTTAAAAAAGGGAAGTTGTGAATCTCCATAAATTGCCTTTTTTATTACCAATGCTAAAAGATAAATGCAAAAGGACTAGTCAGTAACGGCAGGAGTTTTTGGAGAAGGCTGAACATGTTTATCTTCCCTTGTCTGTGTTATTCTTTTCAGAAACATTCTATGTACTTATAATTGAATTATTACACGCTGGCGATTTAAAAATCACTTAACTCCGTAACATATAACCTTCAGGGAGGGCTTTACTGCACGTCAGCTCAGCTTCTGGAGCTGACTATAAACATGTGGGTGATTCAAGATTGTAAAACCAGGCCCATAACATTCATCTCCTTTGTGTTACTCTCAATTAAGAATTTGTAATGAACTTTGTGTAACTTTTGGCAAGAGCAACTTCCATTCATTCTTTTTCTAAATGAATCCATTAGAACTCAAGGTTTCTTTTCTATTCCAACCCGTAGGAAGTTGCCACTCCCCACCCAGCTCCTGACTTCTGAGAAATTCTAGCTCAGGTCACCAGGGAGTGAAAGGCCAATTTTAAGAAAGAGCCATGTATATAGTAAGTCTTTTTTTTTTTTAATGTGGAGAAAATATCATTTGACTAAAGCTAGGTATAAGGCGGTAAGGCCACGGTTTTATAAAATTCAGCCTAAACATTTAGTCAGATCCTTTGAAACTTTTCCCCATGACGAAAGTACATCATTTTTTCCAATTTGGGCATGGGTAGCAAAGTGATTGGGGGCACTGACCCAAAAACATAGGGGTTTTTTGTTGTTGTGCTACAACAAATTAATAAATTAGAGAAAATCTTTTTTAAAAGGAACTCACAGTGAGTAGCCCATTTCAATAGGGATGGAGGGACCAAAGTTGTTACATATTTTCTCCTTACTCTTTGTTCTTCCCTAAATATTTCTGTGAAGATCCCAGGTATCTCTAGGAACGGAACGTTTCAAGCTGCCATTACAGTTGCTACATTTTTCCATCTAAACAGCTTCACGAAGCCAAAATTTTCTTTCATGTTTCAACCAAACAACATATTGTAATAAATCAAACAGAAAAACAAAAAAAAGAGATTAGAAAAGTATAATATAATACTGACATTTTCTTACTGTTTTTGAAAAATATATCTTTCACAGAAATGTGTTTTTATTTACTTCTACTTTTTACAATTTCACACATGAGAGCTACATTTTCACTATTTCCACTTCTCCTTCTTCCCATCAACCTCTTCCAAAGTCTGCCTCCCACCATCATCATTCTCTCTGGAATCCGTTATCTCCTCTTGTACAATTATTATTGTTACCTATATATAGCATGCCAAGTCCATCTAGTGTTGCTTGTTAGTACACATGTTTAGAGCTCACCACTTATGATTGGATAATGTATCAGGGGATTATCTCCAGAGAAAACAAATTCTCCCTCTCAGTGGCCTTGAAAACTTGTAGTCTTCCTCAAGGAGTGGCAACTTGTAAAATGTCCTTCATCCACATGGGAACGTCAAATGGTGTGGTCTTTATGCTTGTCTTGTGTAGGCAACCATATAGTTGAGATGCAGCTTCCCTGTCTTATCCAGAAGACACTACTAGTAAATGTCCTTGTCATCTGCCTCTTACCATCTTTCTAACCATTTTGTAAAAACATCAGTATTTTTATTGCTTGCTTGTGACTATTATTTGAAATGTGCTCTTGTTTTAATTTCCAACATAGTATATATACATATGTATATATCCAACTCAAGCAAGAGTTCTTGGGGCTCCTCAATCTTCTCATATAAATGAGGTCTAAAACCAAAAATCTGAGAATTGCTGAAGCAGAGAAATCCCTTTTCAGGCTTTACTTACAATCTTTCTATCAAGGAACAGAATTTCTGTACAATCCTTGAAAACATTTCTCTAAAACTTTGAGACTCACTTGATTTAGAAACAAAGTGTAAAGGTATTTACAGCCTCTATTCCCGTTGTAGATGACAGGCAGAAAGGAACATCAGAAGACACTGTTCTTGTGTAATAATAAGCAGGTCTGAACTACAAATGTTAACAGCCTTACCCTTGGAGAGGGAGCAAATCAGGCCAAGAGAAGTTCAGGAACACACATATTTATATTTCTGAATTTTATTTGATGAATATTTTATCCATCTTACATGGAGATTCTGATTTGGACTAAATATAAACAATTCTATTCACCCTCTAAGGAGCTTCACACATGCACAATCATGTATCAAATACTGTAAAAGGAAACTCCATGCTCCAATTACTCACATCTACCTACGGCATTGTTTATGTTACATCACTTACTATAAATTTGTCTTGTCCTTTTCCCCCCAAAGTCAAGATAAACCATACCTTCTCCTTGTAAGACCTCATTGAGGAAACCCCATGAAAGAAACAGATTGTGCAAATTACGTGAATGATCTTCCTCTCCTTTTTTAACATTATAACAAAGCTTTGTAGTTTATGATACACCTATGAGCATGTCTGGGACAGCATTTCCAAAGAGGTTTAACTGAGATGGGAAGACCCAACCAGGATATACACGGTACCATACTGTGAGCTGGAATGTGGCATTGATTAAAAAGGGTGAAAAGGAAGAAAGCAGACTGAGAATGTGCATTCATCTCTCTCTAATTCATGACTGAAAATGCAGTGTGACCAGCTGCCTTAAGTTTCTGCTGCCACAGCTAGTATCTCTCTCAGCATCATGCATTCCCCACCATGATAGACTCTACCGTTCAAACTGGGAACCAAATAAACTCGTCCTTTCTTAAGTCCTTTTACCAGGCATTATGTCTCAACAAAGAAAAGAGTGACTGATTTATAGTTTTCTTCAACAACAACAAAAAAAAAACTGTTTTTTCTGTTTCCCTTGAAATTTTGTCAGTGTGTGATGTAAGTTACTTTATCTGGTGTCTCCCTCCCTTCCTCCTTCGGTCCTCTTTCCCTTCAAAAGAACAAAACCTGAATATTACTGGATGGACAAGAGGTCAAGTGGCACACAGCCTAGTCATCCCAGTTTGGACCATTCTAGATATGCCAGTTCCAGCCATCCCAAGTTTCAACAGAGATATATGAATACGCCCAAAAAATACGTGTGTTACTGACCCAAATAAGAACAGCCAAGCCCAGCTATAAACTTTAGAGGCATCATAAGTAAGCTCTATTTTAAACCACTAAATGCTAGGCTTCTTTGGCATGCAGCACTATTTTGACAATAACTACTTTCCTCCTCCTTTACTCTCCCCAGAGAAGTGACTATGAATTTGCCATGAGTTCTACAGATTTACACATTGTGTGGTCCTATATAGTGAACTCATATTTCTGAACTCCTTTTTCATTTGGCTTAATAAATATTTGATTAGCACATGGACCAAATGGAATGTTTAAGTTTCAACACAAAGAGAAATTCTGCAAAACTGTTAATGCTTTACCCATTCCCACATGAAAATAAAAGTGCACTTATCTCTAAGAACTAAATTTGCCTTTTATATATTCCCCACAAAGTTTAATCTCCAAGAATCTCAAATCTCAATGGGTATGGTGAACTTAGAACCGGACTGTGGCAGCTTGATCTACCAAAATAAAACACTTTGACACTTCTATCACTGAAATTCTAGAACTCTGAACTATGTATGCTCTTTTCATCATTTTTGTTATTCCTATGATTTTTGGAAACTCTTCAAAAAGAAAGTGAATCACTTTGCTATAAAAATCCTGGCTCCTCCTCTGGGATGGACCCCAGTGTTGGCTAGAGTGAATGTTCCCCCAATGCATGATCATCTTGGCATCATGTGCTCCTTGGCCCCTCGAGATGGGTAATTTGTCCTCCAGTATTCCTCTCCTTTCCTTTTACTCCTTTTCGTTCATCTGTCTTCTTCATACCCTAAATGTCTAAGTAAAATTTTGTTGCTTAGGACAAAAGTTAATAGGACAATTACTTATATGTATCTATTTCAGAGATCGGTCAAATCTATTGACGTTGTTTCCCAAGCTATTGGATACTAAATAAAAATTATTTTCCTTCTTTACATATAAATTCATTTCAACTATGATTACTAATACTAAGAAAAAAACAGAGGGAATCCAATAGAGTACTAAAATGTACTTGATTTGTGGTATTTAAAAGGTCTTTTGCCAACGTTCTAATTTCTATCTACTTGCAATAAAAAAATGTATAATATTTAAAGAAAAATGAATAAGAAAAGTGTTCATTTCAGTCACTCTTAATCCACGGCTTAACAATAAAATTTTAGAAGAAATCTGGAGAGAGTGTCCTACTCAGACATACAGGATTAGAAATAAAAGGTTGTGGCAGGAATCTTAAAAATTCTTATTAATGAAATTAAACCCGGAGCCAAGTATTGGGGTGAACACTGGAAGATCAGAGAGCCACAGCTTCCTCACCTGGCCAGCTTCTCAGCTGGTCTTGTTTCTTCAGACTGGATGCCTCTGAGTTCTCATCCAGAATGAATCTCAGCTAAACTGTGATACTCGAAAGCCTGAAAGCTTAACCAGCCAAAATGCTTCTAGTTTCTGGTCCTCACGCCTTATATACCTTTCTGCTTTCTACCATCACTCCCTGGGATTAAAGGCTCACTTTCTGGGATTAAAGGCGTAAATCACCATGCTTGGCTGTATCCTTGAACAGATGGATTTCTGCCTCTGGAATGCTAGGATTAAAGGTGTGTGCTTCCACTGCCTATCCTAAGTATCTAGTGGCTTTTCTGTTCTCTGACCCCAGATAAGTTAATTAGCGTACACAATATTTTGGGGAACACAATACCACCACAAAAGGTAAAGTACATTTATTTTGTATTTGCATTCCTTTTGTTTCTTTTTCTTGTGTTATTACTTTAACTAAGACTTCAAACACCATATTTAGTAAGACTATCAAGAGTGGATAGAAGTACACAATGATGTTGATACATCTGGGTTGTTTTCATGTAAACATTGCATTGTTACATAACAAATTGCTACCAAATCCACAGATCATAAGACCTAGATGGTTTGGGTAGATCTTTTTGAGCCTATCAAAAGATGGACATCGTGGAGCCTCTAATGTGGGTATTTTCTTAGGTGTGTGCTTTTTCTCCCCAGTACTGGAAGTGATCGGTTGTTGGAAAATGTATTTCTTTATAGCTGCAATGCTGAGACCTTGCTTTTGATGGCTGAATCTGAAGGACACTCTCTTGTCACCTTGGATAAACCACTTATCATTTCCTGCCAGGAAGTACTCTCTACAATGTGGTTGTTTTCTCTTTGCAAGGTCAATGGAATAGCCTTGTTTTAAATGACACTTCAAACATCTGGCTTTCCTAAAGATACTTTCACAAGTCATTCTTTCCATGTATTACTTGCTAAGTTATGTTAATTAGTTTATGATTAATTTTAAAGATTTATTCTAAAAGAGAATATATAGAAAAAAGATGAAAGTGATATAATAAAATTGAAGAAATTGAGGCAAAAAAAACCCACAAGTATTTGGAATAATACTAAGGTAAAAGTTATATCTTAAAGTTCTGTTTACATAATTGTTCCATAATTGGAATCTAAGATTTCCACTGTATAAAACAGAGTAGGTAACACCCATTCCCTCAGAAATGCTTATTTTTGGTTTTTCAAGACAGGGTTTCTCCATGTAGTTTTGGTGCCTGTCCTGGATCTTGCTCTGTAGAACAGGTTGGCCTTGAACTCACGGAGATCTGCCTGGCTCTGCCTCCCAAGTGCTGGGACTAAAGGTGTGCACCACCACCATCCCAGAAATGCTTATTTTCAAATAGAGAAACCTAAGAATTTTCTCTCCTGAGTTCTCAAGAGAAGAGCACCATGTATGTAGTAAGCAACATCCAAACCATGTCCCTTAAACAAATCTGAAAACATCATAAATTATTTAAAGAAATTTCATTAACAAATATGTGGTCTAATTTATCATGGACTAATTATGAAATTTAAAATATTTCCAAAAGTATATTAATCATTAATTCTATATTCAGTATGATCGCTATTCTTTTCAACTTTGTAGGATTTAAAAATGGCATGGAAATAAACCTATAGGCATATTTCTGAGGGATTATCTACATTAGGTAAATAGAGATGCAAATAGAGATGGAAGACTTACCATAAAAGTGAGTGGTACTATTCCATTGGCTGGAAGTCATGGACTGCATAAACAGAAGAAAGCAAATTGAGCAAGCATTCATTACTCTCTACTTCCTGACCATAGACATGATCAGCTGCCTCTTACCCATGTTGACATGTCTTCCCTGCCATCTTCCCTACTATGATGGAATGTATATCACCTAAACTGGATATCAGAAGAAACCTTGTTTATTAACTTTTTTGACAGTATTTCATCACAAGAGAAGTAACTAACATAGTTTTTATTAACGTAGATTTCTTTTAATCAACACTATATGACAAAGAATTTAATTATATTATCTGACTTAAATCTGAAATGATATAATACATGTAAAAAATAGCTGATCATTATTCTTTGACAATCAAATCAAATCATAAGGAGACTGACATTACCTTGACAAAATGAGGAGCCTATTCATCGGGCATATGATTAAAATCAGATGGGAAAGGACATACATGCACAGTAGATAAATGATCATATGACCCAATGAATCAGTCCAAACAAAGAACCATCCTAGTATGCTCTTAGCAACCAAATCATTCCTTCTCTTCAATCCCATAAAGAACTCCCTCAAAATAATCAGGGTCCTTGGGTATCTTCATTCATGTGGTCTGGTACTCCCATGAAGTATATTCTGATCTTTTGTATTCTTTGTTTTCAATAAAGTTTGCTTGCTACTTTTGCAAATGTGTGTGAGCTTTATTTTCATTCTTCGAGGCCAAGAACTTGGAAACACTAGACCCTAATCCCTGGCAAAAATAAGAAAGAAAATGAAACCAAGAAAAGGATATCAGATCATTAGACCACAGCGCAGATAATATGTTGACAATCACAGTGACAGTTGAAAGACATGAGAAGGGGAAAATAGAAATAAAATAGGGAATCACTATTTTCAAATTCCTGTGAGTCAGATCCACAATGGTGAGGAGTTTAGAATACAGAAGGCTAAGAACTGAGAGCAGAGTGTTGAGAAGATGCCAATATAAACTCACCTCTTTTTTAAAAAAAAGCTATAAATTGAAATTTAGTGATGTGTCCTTTGATGTTTCCTATTCACTAATGTCAGCTGCTTAGTAGGACTAGTTGGTTTGAAAACAGTGGCCAACAAACCGTGCACAGACTGGGTGCCACCTAACTCACTGTGTCAAGATAATGGATCTCTTCACATTAAGACTTTGTCATCAACAATGATGACTAATGGCTGACAAGGGAGATGAAAAGCTAAATACGAAGGAAAACTTTTAGTGTGGTCCCGCTGACTGACCATAGTTTCAAAATAGCATTGACATGCTGACAGTAAAAGGGAGAAAAGGAGAAAAGAGAACGTAGCTGAAATTTCCAAGAGAAATATCATTTTAGATTGTTCATCTTTTAAAGGATGTTTACAATGGTCCTTTTAACAGCAACTTTTATTTCCATTGTGGTTACTAATGCATCTGAGTCACTATACATTTTTCTCTAATGTTATGTATAAATGTTCAGTGGAGAAATAAATTACTCTGATAAATGAAGACCTATGTCAAAAGAATTTCAAGAAGCATCAGCCCTCAAGACCACCCAGAAATCTGCTTAATATTAATAGACTGGACATACATTGACCTACAAGGAATCCATTTTCATGCAACTCCATTTTCCAAGAGTGCTTTGTGGCAACTGCTGGTTGGCCCCTATACCAGAAGTGAAATCCTGTGTTACTTGCATTCTTCATCTATCCTTCAAATTATGACATTTTATGGCACGTTTCTACTAACAGTTGCAAGAATTTGGGAATTTAAGGGCATGTTGTTTTCTTGAAATGCTAGGTCTGACACTGACTATGGTGGGAAAAACAGTGTGTCTTGCTGATATGTCAGCCCCAATACAAGCCTCTTGATGACACAATGCTTGGATAAGGTCCACAACGTAAAACCCAGCAGTCAAGAATATGTTCTCAAGATCCCTGAAAGAGCACAAGTGAGTCAACTTGGAAGAAAATGAAGGACAGCTTCCTATCAGAATGAATGAGTGTGACAGCTAAATGTCAAGCAATGAGTCTGACAGTCTACAAATATGTCACTCTGTGCTAAGCATCTTATGAACATTATTACCATAATTCACTTTTAACACTCGTAGTGTCTCAGAAATTCCCATGGTAAAATTTTAGTCATAGTTTCTTAAAATGTTACCCCATTTGTAGTAGTTAAGATTTCTGTGCGTGCAATTAGTTAAGATAAAGACATACTAGTATGAGGTAGGTTCTAATCCAATATAGCTAGTTGTTGTCTTCGTAAAAAGGGGATATTTGAACATAGGAAAACACATAGGGAGAACTCATGAACTTTAAAATTAGAAAGACGTGCGTTCAAAACAAGAAACACAAAATATCAGAAAACCACCAGAAACTGGAAAGGGCATAAGATACGTTCTCTCACGGAGACCTCAAAGAGGGTAACCCTACTGGAACTTTGACCTTAAACTTCACGGCTCCGTAACTGTGAACCAACACATTTCTATTATTTACATCACCCAGTTTGTGACACTTTACAGTGATCTGAAGTGGGGAGAAGGAAGTCTCAGTGAAATTTTGCCTATAAAAACAGTATAGTTAGCAGTAAGGAAGGGAAATGAATGAAATATAGCCATACATGTATATAAAAACACCATGAAACTTGTATGACAGCCTAAAGGATTAAGTTAAAATTATTACTATAGCAATTTTTAAAACAGTATATTTAGTTTATAAACTATGGCCTCATGCTGTCTAATTTAAACAAAATAGTGTATGCTCTTTGTCATGCACAGCAGTTAAAGTAGCCATCAAGGCATTTAACATGATCAAAAGCATGAGCTTGGAGTCAGACACCCTGAGCTCTTAACAGTTCTGCCTGTTTCTGATGCTTTTATTCCCTTAACCTGGTAGATCTAAAACTTAATCCGGGCAGATAGCAACAGAATTGAGTTGAATTGTAGGATGATCTTTTTCTATTGCATTGCTTGGAAATAAAGTTTCCTTGCTATTTTGCATATCTATGTGGGCTTTTAATTCATGTCCTTGAGTCACAGACCAAGAACTTGAAAACACTGTACCCCAACTATTGCTTCTAATCAGAAAGGAATTGGTATCAATTAGAGAAATAGTATGAGGGGAAAACAAACACACATACACACATTTTGGTGACCATAGATGAAGTACTCTGTGCAGTGTGTTGAGACAAGATAGTACAAACATTGCTTTCCCATCAAGCATGCCATCTCTGCTTCTCACAGTACTTACAAAAATCTGGATGCTCAACTCTTCCAGGTCTAGAAAAGCCAGAATATATGGCATCAAAAGTTTAAATTCTTTCTTTTAGAAAAACTAGCTTGTGCCTCCCACCAAAATTCCAAAAGTGAGAATTCCCCTAGTCATAGGAAGTAACTTTCAGTGCTCAGTGTCAGGAAAGAATAACCAAAGTCTGAAAATTCAAATTAAGAATGTTGTTGTGTGCTATGCTAATATGAGATTGTAATACCATTTAATACAGTAAGTTTGTAAATTTTCTCATTGGAGTTTATCATGTTTATGTTTTAGACATTCTGCTTTTACAGTAGTAAGGAAAATGAAGGAAATTAGAATAAGCAACCAAGAGACCATTAAAGACCATGTCATTGCAATAATCTCATGGACCATGGTGATGGTTGCAAGGAAAAGATCAGATTTTAAGAGGTAGAATGGGCACTTGAGACATCCAGGCTGAAGAACAAGGAAAAGTCTGCAAATGCCACAGACTCCCAACTTAGACAGCTGGGTTTTGTAGGTATTATCAGCAAGCTAAGAACAAAAAATGAGGGTCAGTGGGATGAATTCATATAGACTCTGAGAATTTAGGGAATGTTCTTCCAATAATCCCTGGACCTCACAAGTGTGTTTTCACTATATTTCAGGGGATGTCAGGTATGCATCATGCCTACTGGGCTCTGCCTTCAGTTATCTATCGACTGGCAAACCCACCAGGCTCCAGTTCTACACCCTGCTTTTTATTAAATTAAATGGGTCACAAAACAAAAAAAAATGTGAATGAGGGGGAAAATTTTACAGGGAAGAGAGGATGGATGGTAATAAGGGGAAATGGTAATCAGAATGCATTAGATACATGAATGAAATCGTCAAAAATGGTTTAACTAATAAAAACATTTTCTGAAAAGTAACAATTCATTCCCTTCCTTTTGAGTATGGACTGAACATAATGGCTTTCATTATACAAACAGAATGCCACAGACATCCCCAGGCTAAATTAGAAAAGAAAATTCAATTTCAACATAATTCATTTTGGGGAAATCAATGCTTAAAACACAGGAACCACACTGTAAAAGGACTAAGTAACCCAATGGAAAGGCCATATATCAACCACAGACCCCTACAGAAGTCCCAGCCAGAAGCCAGCATTACGTGCCAGGCACACCAATGAGCCAGCCAACAGATAATTCTATTCCCCAGACTTTGGGTTGACCCAAGAGATGTCAACTAGAGCAGTGACGTTCATATCCACAAGCCTCCCCTAGATTGCAGAAATCTGAGTATGTTAAATGCCATTGCTTTAAGCCGCAAGGTTTTTGAGTGATTTGTTACTTAACAACAGGTTAGTGGAAAATAAGGACAACCAAAGACTCCCTTACTGAACAAAGGGAGTTTTGTAGCAATATCTCAGACCTGTTGGCTGGCTGACTTAAATGACAGTACCATGAACAAGTATGCATACACACTTGACTATTGAAAAAATTCTAAAGAGATGACCAAGAAAATAAGCAGGAATACCATCAAAAGATACAGAAAATTTAAGAGGCATAACCCAATGACCTAACCTGGGATTTGGCCCAAGTGTTAGGCTTGACAGGTTCTTTCCAAATCAGTGCCATGGAACCTTTAATGAGTAGCCTAGATCAAGACTACAGCTACCCAACGACCTCTGGGTGAAATGGAACACCACTAAAAATGATTAATCAAGTGAATTTTTAACTAGAAAGTTTATCTTGTAATTCATTTTTCTCAGAGTGCTTTTCAAT